GGATATTCTTGCTATTTCCATACTACCAGATAATTATCACCTATGAATTAAAAACCCTAGGTTGTTAATTTGCCTGCTAACTTTCCCTGACCATCCAATTAGATGGAAGTCATCTTTATCAAAGCCCATCAATTATGTTTTGTAGTTTTTGTTGCACAACATCTATTAAGATGTCACAAACACAGCAGGCCTTGATTAATCAGAAACAGTGTGGAAATCCCAAATGACCCATTATTGTTCCCTATTTTTTATTTTGGATGGGAGGAGAGGCTAGATCTCCAAACCTAGAAAATATCTGAAACTATGTAAGCATCAAACTTCTACATGCAGTTCTTTCCTCTTCATCAATGCATTAATTTAACTTTCTTTTCCATTTTAACTAAGCATTTATCATGCAATGTGGTTGTCATTTTTGCATTTGAGTTCTAAGAAACTAACAAATTCATTTTTCCTCTTTCCCAGTTTCACATAGAAGTTTCCTTCTTACAAGGAACATAGCATTCTAGGGATATGCAAGCAGTCTTTCCTTATTAGATTGAGAACATGCACTATCTCAGCTAAAATATGCACTTATGGCTTCTCTTTGGCGTATCTATCCTTCAGCGTTTGTGCTTTGGAGTCATTATTAAGTAAAATGATGTTTCCTTGAACATTTACTTGAACACAGTATTATCATAGAGCATGAAGATACCACAATAATCAAGCTGATAACCTGTGGTTAGCAGGTACTGGGAAGAGGGGGTGGTTCACCTGCTTCCACGGGATGGAGCAGGGTGGTGGCAGATTTCACCATGCTCCCCAGAATTCCTTGCGATTTAAAACTTATTAATTGATGATTTCTGGATTTTCCAATTGATATTTTCAGATCATAGCATGTAACTGAAATCCAGGAAAGTACAGATAAAAAGGAATCATTGTGCATATGGCCAGCATTTACTGATTGACTGATTGGTCAGTTGTGGGTGTGTTTCGAATAAAGACATTATGAAAAAACAAGGGAAGAGGTGATGCTCATTCAAAAAGAAATGTACTTATCACCTGACTTATGTAACTGTAATCCCTCTGTACATCACCTTTGCAATAAAAATTTAAAAAAAATAAATGGATGCACTTGGCGCTGGTGGCTCATGCCTATAAATCCTAGCTACTCAGGAGGCTGAGATCTGAGGATCACGGTTCAAAGCCAGCCCAGGCAAGAAAGTCTGTGAGACTCTTATCTTCAATTAACCACCAGAAAACTGGAAATGGTGCTGTGGCTCAAGTGGTAGAGTGCTTGCCTTGAGCTGAAGAGCTCAGGGATAGCACCTAGGCCTAGAGTTCAAGACCCATGACCAACCTAAATAGATAGATAGATAGATAGATAGATAGATAGATAGATAGATAGATAGATAGATAGATAGATAAATGAAATTTACTTAAATGAAAAAAAGACATTATGAGAAACAGAAACATCTAATTCAGACTACTGATTCTGTCTTGCAGGAAAAAGAAATGATCTGAGGTAAATGCAAGTGTTGGTAATGGTTCTTTGGGGTGGTATTGAACTCAGGGCCTTGTACTCTCACATGACATGGGGGGGCATGCTAGTATGGGGGTTTCAATTCAGAACCTAGGTGCTGTCCCTTAGTTTATTCCACTGAAGGCTGGCACTCTATCCCTCTAGCCACACCTCTACTTGTGACTTTTGGTGGTTAATAGGAGATCGAAGACTTTCAGATTTATCTCTAGGTCTGCTTTGAACCAAGAACCTCAGATCTCAGCCTCCTGAATAGCAAGAATTATAGGCATGAGCCACTGGTGCCTGCCTTGTTCTGGGTGGCAACCATATGACTATTTGTTAAATAGTGAGAAATTATATTTTACTGATTAATGCATAACTGTGGTTTCCACATTATCTGAGAAATTCTCCTGACCTAAGAAAAAAAGCACTTAAAATATTGTCTTAGACAAAAAGAGATTGAGTGAAAATTTCAAACTATAACTCCACAAACTCTCTTAATTAATATTTTATCTGGCAGAAATATTTATGAGACATTACCAGTTTCATATATGCAAATGGGACTTCTATAAATAGGAGAAAAAACAATTTCTTATGAGTGTCATATTCCGAAGAGAAAACTTGAATGGTGAATTCATCTCCTGCTTGATGAAGGAAGGTAAGAAAGACAGATAAAAGGGACAGAGGAGGTGGGTCTGCGTGCTAATTAACTGTGATGACACACTTACATTCTCTGTTACTTTCCAACATCACAGTGATCAGACAATGAGACGCTGAGTCCCATTAAAAAGCTCCCTGAGTAGTTCTACAATCTTTCCACCTATTCTTAAATGCCATTTCTGATCTTTGGCTACCTTAACTTTGCACCGAACCAGTCAGGACTAGAATTTCCATACTTCTCATTCTTCAGGTCCTGGCTGAGAACGGTTACCTGGTCTGGGCTTAGATCACTGATAGAATATTTACAAAGTGACATTTCCCAGATGATTCAATTAAAAAAAAAAATAGCCAGAGCCAGGCACTGGCTATTCAGAAGGCTGAGATCTGAGGATCACGGTTCAAAGCCAGCTCAAGCAGTTAAGATCATGAGACTCTTATCTCCAATTAACCACCAAAAGGCCAGAAAGTAGGAATGTAGCTCATGTGGCAGTACACCAGCCTTGAGCACAAAAGCTAACAGATAGTCCCCTCCCTGCAAACTAACCAAGGCAGAAAGAATATTACAGTCATTATACTTACTCAAAGACCAATGACTGCTGCCCTGGGACATAGACCTTGACGATCTAGTAGATGCCTCTGAGATCTGTGTTTTACCCGGATCTCAGAGCCATGCAGCCAGTCCTCTACCGAGAACTGGGAACTGAAGGAAGCAAACCCTTTCTTCTTAGTGTTATCCATAAGATCAACCAACATCGGACATAGATGAGCTCAAAGGCAGGCCAAAGCTCCTAAAGGGGACAGAAAGTCAGAGCCTAGTGTGGTCACACTGAGTAACCAGCCTCTCTACAGAGAACAGAGGGGTGTATCCAGGGCAGGCCCTGCTCCCCCACCTACCCCCATCTCCCTAAGAGATGGAGCGGAGGACTGCAGGGGTTACTTTCCATGACTAGGACAGACTTGATGCCCTCCAATCCCAGTGACAGTCTTTTTATTGCTCCTGAGTCTACTCTTTTCCCTCTTGCAGTGTGATAGACAGGTATAGGGAATGCCACATGCTGTCAGTCAGGGCCTGCCTCCCCATACTCAACCCAATAGGCTGGGTATTAGACACAGAGAGGTCACAACTGACCCACGAAATCCTAGAAACACCTGCTGGTCCGCCCCAGACACCGCCCCTCCCTTGGCAGGGAGGGGTCTGCCTGCATCTCTCCTACAGCTCAGACAAACTGAAGAAGAGATCATGTTCACATCTTTCCTCAAGGTGGGAATGCCCAGGAGGTAGTGAAGTCCCAACAAGGCCTATGAGCTGTTCATCTCTGTCATTGGAGGGCCATTTCCCTGCCATTCCTACCCAGCCACAAGACAACTGTGCTGGGGGAAAGTGGAGCAGGGGGCAGAGAGTCTGGGATCAGCAGAGATTCTTTCTTTTGGGGGGGTCCAGTCATGGGGCCTGAACTCTGGGCCTGGGCGCTGTCCCTCAGCTCTTCAGCTCAAGGCTAGCGCTCTACCTCTTGGGCCACAGGGCCACTTCCGGCTTTTTTCTTTTTGCTTATGTGGTGCTGAGGAATCGAACCCTAGGGCCTCAGGCATGCAAGGCAAGCGCTCTACCACTGAGCCACCTTCCCAGCCCCAATCAGCAGAGATTCTTTCTCCTCCTCTTCCACCATCTCCTCTTCCTCCTCCTCCTCCTCCACTACCACCACCATCACCTCCTCCTCCTCCTCCTTCTCCACCATCTCCTCCTCCTCCTACTCTTCCTTTTCCTCCCCCTCCTTCTCCTCCTCCTCCTCCCTTCTTCTTTTTCCTCCTCCTCCTCCCCCTTTCTTCTTCTTTTTCCTCCTCCTCCTCCTCCTCCTCTTCTTCTTTTTCTTCCTTCTTCCTTCTCTTTTATTCTCCTTCTCCTTCTTCTTGAACTCAGGGTTTTGCTGTCTTCCTCAGCTTTTTTTGTCAAGGCTTACCCTCTACCATTCCAGCCACACCTTCATATTTTCACTTTTTGGTGCTTACTTGGAGATAGATATCTCGTGGACTTTTCTGCCAGTCTGACTTCCAAGTTCAATCCTCAGACTTCAGCCTCAGGAGTAGTGAGGATGACAGGTGTGAGCCCTGGCCTTCACCTCCATCCCAGCCACAGGAGTGGGAAGCTGACACCCAGACTGGAGGAAAGGCCACACCCCCCACTTACTGCTCCCCATGTCAGAAAGGGCACCCAAATCCTGCCATGTCCTCACCCTCAGGGCAGACTGCCTGCACAGCCCTCCCCGGCTCGGACTTGCTGTCTTCTACCCTGACAGAGGAGCAGCGGTGCACCTCTTAGTAAACTCACTCTCCCATGCTGGTTGCTCAGGACGGGGCACGCGCGCGGGAGGTGGGGGGCGTTCCCACACAGGCAGGGCCGCTCTCACACGTTCACATCCAGGTGCCCCCCCCACCTTGCACCTGCAAGACCGGAGGCACCCCAACACCAGCCGGGGAGCCACAGAGACAGGCAGAAAGCTGTAGAGGAGGTGGGCTGGGAAAGGGAGCCGAGGGGAGTTCCCTCTCTCTGTCTTCCCCTTCTCCATCCAACTCCTGGGAAACACCGGGTGTCTAAGGGGTTGCGTGGAGCCCCTGCCCTCCCCGCCAACCACCGTCCACCCCCGATACTGCCTTCTGCCTATGGCCCTTTAAATCGCGTTATTATCTGGAGATCCTTTTGTATCGGGGAAGAGATCAGAAGGAGGAGGGAACAGGGAGGGCGGGAGGGAAGGAGGGCGAGGAGGGAGGTGGGAAGGAGGGCGCAGCGCCTCCGGTAGCTCCCAGCCAGGGAAGGGACCGGATGGTCTAGACGCCGCCGCCGGTGCCCACGGGATCCACGGCAAGAGCGAGGCTCTGAGCGGGTCATGGCTAAGGCTGCAGAGCCCGGACCAAAGCCCTGATCGCCTCGCTGCGCACAGCCTCTGAGGGACAGCCCTGAAGTTCGCATCCTGACGCTCGAAAGCGCCCATCTGGACAAGTAAGTTGGCTTCTTTTCCTTCCCCATTTCTCTCCCAGACCAGAGCAGGATGGACCTTCCCTGGGGTGCCCGGTACCCCAGGCAGCATACTCCTCCCACCCCCCACCCCCGCTGCGCCCTCCTGAGACTCCCAGATTTGGGACAGGTGGGATTCCAAACCAAGGCTCTGGGAGGGCCCAAAGTTCAGCCAGGGAAACTGGAGCTGTCTTTAGCAGAGGCTGCCTCCCACATCTGTGCCCTAGATCTCCCTATCTGAGGGTGGGGGTAAGGGGTCAGGACCATCCGTCTTGGCTTTACAAGCCAGGCACCTAGGAGGAAGGGAAGAAGACATGACATGACCGTCCTCCATGGAGGGCTCAGAGAGGGCCGGGATGCGCTGTGGGTGGCTTAATCTTGCTTTTTCTTTGAAGTGTGGCCAGATTGGAAACTTGGCTTTGTGATTTCTGCCCTCCCCGCTGCCAGGTCACTTCCTGTACGCCTCCTTTCTTCTTTCTAAATGTCTCTCAAACTGTTCAGAAAGGCCTGGGTCTGTGTGCAAGGTCAGAGGATGGGAATTTAGGGGAGAAGTCTTGTTCTGATCTTTTTTTTTTTTTTTGGTTGGTTGTGAAGCTTGAACTCAGGACCTGGGTGCTGTCCCTGAGCGTCTTTGTATTCAAGGTTAGTGCTCTATCACTTGAGCCACCACACCTTTCTGGGTTTTGAGTGGTTAATTAGAAATAAGTCTCATGGGAACTTTTCTGTCCAGACTGGCTTCAAACCATGATCCTCAGATCTTAGCCTCCTGAGTAGCTAGGACTACAGGTGTGAGCCACCGGCACTTGGCTTTGATCTTTATTTTTTCTCATGCCTGGGATGCTACTCCAAGAGCCCCTGAAGTTGTGGAGTGGAGTTAGGTCAGAGTGGGCTCCTCTGATGGTGTTTGGAACCCCGAAAATAGGAGGTTGAGAATGGAGGGCTAGGGGGAGGGGTAAATGCCTGCCCAGTTCCAAGTATTTATTCTCTTCTGATCCTTTTTAAAAAGCAGAATTTACCATCTTTTACTGAGTGAGAAATGGCAGCCCAGAAAGGCTGTGTAACTTTGCCCGAGGTCCTCAGCTTACAGAAGGAGATTCTCATCTAGGTCCAACTACGAAATGTACTTTATCTTCATCCGAAGCAGGCTCTGATCCACAGACTGTTCCCATGTGGAACAGAAGAGTGTGAAAAGAAGACCATCTTTGTGGCTCCTCACTAGAACATATTTCAGTGAGTTCATCCTGACAGCAGTCCTTTGAGGCAGAGCTTGCTTCTTCTCTTGGTTTCTTGATGAGACTGAAGCTAATAGAATTCTGAGCACAAATGCAGTGCTGTTATCCTTGAAGCCTTCTGACCTCTGGCTTCAAATCCAGGGTCTTTCCATTATCAAACACTAACCGTGGGAGAAGTACTGGTCTTCTCAGATCTATGCCTTTGGCTTAGATACAGTGGTACATCCCATCCGCTGGCTCTCTGGATTCTGGGGGATGAATAGAGCAGAGTCAGAGCTGTAGGAATCCAGCCCTGGGCTGGGTTCTAACAGGAAAAGCTTCCCTGGGATTATAGACTATTGATCTATTGAGACGTTGTATTCTGCTCTGGCCCCAGGGCCTTCTGGGTGGCTGTGGTTCCTGGACTTCATACCATGCTCTCCAACTGACAGGAGAGCTAGCATTCAGGCAAAGCCTCTCCAAAAGCTGCCCCAACTACTCACTCACAGGCAGCATTTCTCACTTTGGTGGAAGGTCTGCCTTCCACAGAAAACAAGTGCCCTGCAGCTAGTAAGCAATTCAGGAGGAGAAAGCAAGGTGGAAAGGAGGATAGTGAAAATGAGATCTGGGGCTTGCTTCCTGGGCCCAGGGCTGGCCTAGAGTGAGCTGCCTGTTCTGATCTCAGTAGGATTTCCCAAGCTGGGCCGTGTCCCCCAAAGGCTTCGCCCTTTCTCCATGGGTCCAGCAAACACATCAACGTGACTCTGTCACTAGGTTCTCTTGGCCCAGCTGCCACTGGTACAGGCTGTTGTATAGCAAGGTCCCTTTGGGGTTTTCTGCAAGCACTTGACTGAGCTTGAATTTGCTTTCGTGACCAGTGAAAAGGTTAACAGTACAGAAGGGAATGAGTACCCCTTCTCCACGTTCCACATGTTGTTAACTTGACAAAGACTCTGCCTGTGACCTGTGAAGCAAAAACACCAGTGTGATGTGCATGCATGCACTTAAAGACTGTATCTACTTCTGTAGTTTGTTTTGTTTTTGCTGTTCCTAGGGCTTGAACTCTGGGCCTGAGCACTGTCCCTGTGCCAATTTGTACTCAAGGCTAGCACTCTACCATTGAGCCATAGCATTACTTCCAGCTTTTTCTCGATTAGTTTGCTGGAGATAAGAGTCTCACAGACTTGCCTGCCTGGGCTGGCTTTGATCCATGATCCTCAGCCTCCTGAGTAGCTATGATTACAGACGTGAACCCAGGCTGGGTTTGGGTTTGTGTGTGTGTGTGTGTGTGTTTTAATTTTTTAATTATTTTTTGTGTGTATGGCAGTACTGGGACTTGAACTTAACACCTGAGCATTGTCTCTTAGCTTTTTCTTTCAAGGCTGGTGTTCTACCATTTGAGCCACAACTTCACTTCTGGCTTTCTGGTGAACCTCAGTCTTCATATCTGAGTCTCCTGAGTAGCTAGGATTACAGGTATGAGCCACTGGCACCTGGCTATTCTTTTTGTAAGTCAGTTTAACTTACATTTATTTGATCATTTAGCATGTGCCAGGAATTATTAATTTTTAAAGACCTTGAAATGAGATCCTCTTGGTCAGGCTTATGTTTTCTATTTCTAAGAATATGAGCAAAAGCTTGTTTGCATTTCCTAAGCCAGTACTGATTGGAATTTTAGATGGGAGGACAAAGGAGAGAAAGCAGGGGGCCAGGAGTAGTTCATAGGAGCCATTGTTTAGATTAAACTTAATACCCTGTGTGAATTACAAACCAGCCATTGTATTTGTGAGAGAGGACAAATCACCAGACAACCACTATGACAGATTGTCATCAGCCATGGGAGAATCTTTCTGTGGCTTCTAACTGAAGAATGAGAGTTCAGACACAAAAGTCTGTAGGCACACACACACACACACACACACACACACACACACACACATAAATGCAACTTGGAAAATGGCTATCTCTGAGATTATTTTGAAAACAGAAAGGACAGAATCCCCAGGCACAGATAACCGGCCTCAGTATCTACTTCCTCCTACCTTGACATTCTGATAAGGGAGCTATTCTCGCCCCTGGAGCCCAGAGTGGCATCAAGCCTTGCCAAGAGCTGTGTTGAGTTAAATGTCAGAGCCAAACCTTTAACCGAGGACTATGGAGATGCTGGTTGGGGCTTTCAGTGTTAAGTTCCATTATCATTCTAACCACCGGCAGTGTGGGGGGCAAAGGTCAGGGAGAATGTGGTCAATTGGCAGGTGGCACCAGCACTGATGGGCCGCCAAGGATAAACCCCTGTGGGGAGGAAGGGCAATGAGGCTGAGGACAAAGGGGGTGGGGAGGAAGGGGCTGCAGCTGGCAGGCTCACCCGCCTGACCTTGACTTGCTTGTTTGGGGCTGAATATACTCCCAGCCCCTAACATCTCACATTTCAGAGAAATGTGAGAAACCACCAAGTCCCAAAGTCATCTTCCTATATATTCTCTCTTGGGCTCAGAGAGGAAGCCAGGAGAGGGGAGCAAGAGCCACAAGGATTTCACCTGCTGCCTTGGACCTCACATTCCCGCCCTCCCCCCTCCCTGCCCCCCCCCCTCCACACAGACACACAAAACCCTCCATCCCCAGACCAGAAATTCCCACTGAGCATTTGCCATGGTGATAAGGGATTGAAGTTCAGGAGAGCAACAGGCATGAGATGCTGCCTCTGCTCCCGGAAAATGGCCATCCCCAGGGCTAACACAAGCTCCAGGTGTCCAGTCCTAGTGATCCTGACAGCCAGGTAACTGTGCTAAAGCCAGCAGTCCCGCTGAACACCAAGATACAAGGCCTCTCTGGCCCAAGTCAGGTGGCCTTTGCTGTTCTGCAGAAACCTCTTGGTCCAATGGGCTCAATAATTTACTCACATCTTTTCCAAACTCCGTGTGGAACTCCTAAGAGAGAAGATGTGAAGAGAGAAGATGGTGCCTCTCTTCAGTGAGCACAAAGAGAGAAGATGGGATTATTGGCAAAGGTTTCCTGCCAAAGAATAAATAATAACCTAGGTAGTAGGTGCTGTGCAGGAGATGTGCAGAAAGCCTGGGGAGGGAGAGCTAGCTTTGCCCGAGGCTGGGGGGGCGTGGTCAGAAAAATCCTACAGGGCCTTCCAAAACACAAGTGCTGGTGGCTGGATGGAGGCTGTCCTGAAGCGGTTTAGAGAGGAGACAGCACAAATTAGACACAGGGTAGGGCAGAGGAAGGCTGGAAGAGGAAAGGTCAGACATGCAAGCCTGGGCCTGGGCTTGCACTCCTGGGAAACTCCTGGCCTCCAGCTCCTGGCCACCAGCAGATGTGTTTTGGAAGGCCCGGTCGGACTTTTCTGATGCCCCCTGGCAAAGCCAGGTCTCCCTCCCCAGGGCTTTTGTGCATCTCCCCAACAGCACCTACCACCGAGGTTATAATTCCCGGGGGATCCCAGTCCAGCCTCCTCTCTGGCCACCTCCCCGCACCCCTTCAGGTGCTCATACTTGATTACCTTTGCTTCCTCCCTCCCTTCCTGGCTCCATTTGGCTCTTTCCCCCACGCTCCCCCCCTTTAGCTTTCTTCTTTTGGCCATACCTGCATTCAGCTTTAGTCTAGTCCCTTTTCCAACTATATTCATTCTCTTTTTTTTAATCTATAGATATTGTTTTAATTTTAGATCTTGTAGATTTACTTACAGTTTAAGAAATAATGCAGAGAACCAGCTCAAGTTTGTAATCCTAGCTAATCAGGAGGCTGAGATTTAAGACTCAAGGCTCA